TATATGTATATATATATAAAATTTTATTTTAACCTCTAATCCATAAATACATGTCAAAACACATATGGAGTGTATTTTAGTATCTTGGTTTTCCACATGATTTATAATGTATGTGTAACTTTTGGTCTCTGTTGACTGAATATCAGGATAAAGAGACTGCCAGTATGAACTGACTTTTATCTTCCATGTCATTTTTAGCAACACTGGTGTGTTTACATGCATGAACTTGGAAAAGGATCACCTGTTTGCCTCACATTAATCGTCATCAGATTTATGAAACTTCTCAGTTAATGGAAGTTGACAAACTACTGGCATGAGACAAATGGATCAACTTTAATCCTAATTTGAATATTCATCCACATCGGTTCTGTCATGTGTAATAATTTAAATATATGTGTTGGGTCCCAGGCTCGCTTCATGTTTGGTGCCAGTCATGTGGAAAACCAACATCTTGGTGTATTTTCAGGTTTATTTCTCACTAATGAACTCATTGTACTTTAGAAACCTAACTCCTTTCTTTGCTTTATTGATTGTTTTGTGTTTTAAAGCATAATTATTTGTAAGTTGTACAGGTCAGCACATGCTCTGGAAATATTTCTCACCCACAGCTCAAACTACCCACTGGATGCTTAGTAACTATCTGCTAAAAGCTGCTAGGAATGTGGATCTGAATCAGGCTGGCTAAGCTGGTACTGAGAAGTGAAACAGCCAGAGGTCGGGGGTCCATTGTTTACCTACAAGATGAACTCACTTTATTCACTTCTCTTGGTGTTTCTGTTGATCAGTCTCCCACATATGCTCCAGCAATTTATTGTTTTTGAGGCTCATGAAATGTTTCTTTAATATTCCTAGAGGGCTCTTTATTTCCAAGAATTTGAGGATTTCTGTGTATTGTTGAACCCAACATTCTGACATGTATTTATCATGAAGAAGTGTGATCATATTTTAAGTTGATTTTGGATCATAACTGCCTGTGGGTCAGTGACGTCTAATATTTTATGGCTTGCAGGTGGGTTTGGCCAGACATTATATGAAACTGCATCTTTTGGTAAAAGACAATTTTAAATAGATGTGTTTCTCCGTTTCTGTTTGGTTTGAGACTCTTATCCTCTGAGAAATTACAGTTTGGCTAATTTTCTCTGGGATTTTAGTGCCCATTTACTTTACAAAGGCCTGTTGGAGCTTGGATTTTAGAAACGTTATCTTTGGTAATTTTCCAATTAGACAAGGTCTTCACAAGTTTTAGAGCATGTCTCAACTGAATGCCACAGTCTTCCTAGGACTGATTAGCATTCTGGAAGGGCTGTATTCAGCCTCTACAGGTGATTGACACAGGCTTAGGCTTTGGCAGATGACCGAGATAAATGTCCCCTACAGTATTATGAGGTAGGTGACTGCCACAACCAATTATTTCTGCTCATTCCTGTCAACAGTGTCCTTCGACTCAAATATTATGTTCTTGTTGCCTATGCAAATTCCTCTTGTATTATGTTATATGTGTAAAGAGAGGTTTATTATAAAATAGAAAAGCTCAAATATGTCTTTTCAATGTAATAATGTTGTTAAACATTCAAAATCAAAGTTATTTTTGCGGAAACATGAACTTTCTATCAGAGAGCTTCATATTAAAGAGCTTTACAAATAAATTAAAGTCAAGGGGTATGTATAATATATGTGTAATAATGAACTTTAAGAATTTAAATAATTTTTGGGCCATGTACACCTGCCCCAAACTATGCAAGCTGACCAGGCTTTGCACTCTTTGTGACCTTTAACCTGAAGTGATTCACCTTCCAGCTTCTAAATAGTTAGGCTCCAGTCTGAGCAGGCATTGCAGAAATGCTGCTCCAATGCTGGAATGAGATTAGACTGATGGTGGAGATAACCAGCCCTGGTCTGCAAAGGTTTTCTCCTTGAACTGGCCAGTAGTCTCATAATGCTGTGGTGCATGGTGTGAAGTTCAACTGGCATATACATCGTCCTGCCTCAAATGATTTAGTCAGACTTCTGATCTTCACTGTCAATGACATGTGGGCCAAATTAAATACCTAAACATCTGAAATGCTTAAGCAGCAGCATAATTATTGTTATGACGACGACAGTATAAGTCAGTGTGATCTTGCTCAAATGCTGCTTAATCCTACGGGTTGCTTCGGGTTGTTGTGTCTATGGGCTACTATGGAACTATTTGCATATCAGGAAACTGACAGGTAGTCCACATCATAATGACAACCTCTAAGAAGTGAGCCCTAACAACATATCGCGAGTAATATCCTACGCGATTTGGGATGGGGCCAGCAGGCGCACCGTTCATCCGTGCGTCCCAGGACCCCGTCCTATATGGGAGGGAAGACGCGGAGGAGGTGCAGAACAGAGGGAGGGAGTGATGGTGACAGAGGGAAATTGAATGAGAAGCACTGAGGGGAGCCATCACAAAAAAAGTTCTCTAACAATCAAGTGGAAGTACAGACTGGCTTCTCTCTTTTTCGGACCACATGGCTGCTTAGTTCCAACAAGTATAACTTCTGCAGTATAAAGTTCTGGTGGCGGAGGCAAAGAGGGGTCTCCGCTTGGAAAGATGGATGATTTAATAAGGACCCGATCGCGCAGGAGAATACCGCTATGTCTTTTGTTCCTGCTTCACGTAACGACAACACAAGCTGGTAAAGTACCTAGTTGAACACCTGCGGTTAAATAACGAGAATGTCCACGATCTATAGATGCTAGAGTAAGTGAAATAGTCGACAGAAGTCCCGTCAGCGCATTCTCCAATTGATGCGCTTCCCGTTTAGCTAACTTCCGATTGGGCTGCTTTTTCCAGACAGCTCCATTCATTACTTGCCCCCAGCAGCCAAGTCGTTAGCCCAAGAACATAATAATCATTTTCTGTCTTCTGGTTTACATTGGCGTGTAAGGCAGAATCTGCACCAGTGATTTGGTAACACCGCCTCTTGTCCCGCAGAGTCACTTCAGGATGGGATTAAAACTGTAGGTGACTCAAATGACTTTTAGAACAGATCGTTTCAGAACTGTGTAAATGATTTAGGCCTGTGCACCAGCTATTTTTATATGCATACTTTATCCGCGTCATTGTACAAGGAGCACATTTTTTGGATTGATTCAGCTGTTCCTGCTCCAGCTTGCATTTCAATTTAACATATCTCCAAGGGTTGAATTTGAACGTGGTGTGCTGTAAGACTCGCTGTGACCTCAGGAGATGTATGATGTCACGTTTGAGTTTGCTTGTGACCAGCGTCAGTTTACTGTGAATAGGTTTAACGTTGGCTTGAGAAAGAGGTCAATGGCCACTGAACACTTACCGAACTGAGTAGATTAAAATTCCTGTCACGGATCTGTTTAATGTGCCTTAGCTCACATATTTCTTAGATGAAACCGCTTATAGCATCACTTTCTGCTTTAATTAGGATTATTCTGGCACACTTAAATGTTTTCAGTACTTTACTGCTACCTCCTATCATACAGCCTATTAGACTGTTGTGACTGGTGTGATCCAACTCATACTTATATCTCAATTATCCACCTGTGAGACACTGATCACAGCTGTGTCCGTCTGCCACAGTGTCCTGCGGTCCACGTTTACTGATTGTTCTTCAAGAGCTGAAGCACTTTAAGACTTGTTCCCAACACAGCCAGTAACACCAGCTTGTTCACAGACTGCATCTTGTATGTCATTTGGCTCAGTGCTGTCTATCACCCACACAGGCCTTCGGGTCCTGTGGCCATGTCCTCGCAGGTGCTATGGTTAAGACACCCCCTCATGGAGTGGCATGCCTCAACAGTAGGAGTTAATTCTGTGGCCAGCAGAAGTGATTTAAGATGTGTCATTTTTACACATGGCTTTCCACATGCACCCACTTTATGGCTGGCAGGAGTTGTTGGAGCTGATTGGCTAATATAAAGGGATGACAGGAGGAAGCTGGGCAACAATGACATTCAAGTGACAGTGGATGTGGCGTCCAGAGCTCTCTAAGGAGGCCTTGTAGAATGAGAGGCTGAGATGATTTAAAAGTGCATGGGACATATGGTGGTCTTAGATATGTGCATGTGGTTGATAATGCATTTGCGCCTCTGAGTCTGTGAGGGTTTGGGTGTGTGTGTGTGTGTGTGTGTGTGTATTATAGTGCAAGAATGTTTTGCCATATGCTTTCTGTGTGTGTTCAAGAGAGATGAGAGAGGACTTTGTAGTTATGTTTGCTGACAGGAAGTGAGCCATTCTTGCACACGTCCACAGTTCGTTTCAATAAGAATCCTCTGTTCTTTTGCCTCGACATTTTTGTTTAGTTTTCTTTTCCTTCTTTTGTTTTATTTTTCACTCAGTTCAAAGCATGTGTATAAGGAGTGTTTGTTTTTATTTTATATGCTGTATCTATTCATTTACATAATCCTCCTCCTCCTGGTCACAGTATACACTGCCTCACCCTTGATTGGTTCTGCGACAGTGAGGAAATTGTGCATACAGCCCCCTGACTGTGTCCTGTTTGATCCGGCCACCTTGCCAATCCTGCACCAGACTCCCAAAGGAGGGTGGCAAGCCTTTGCTTGCCTTTGATCCAGCAACAAATTAGCAGCAAATGAAAACAAATGAAAAAGGAAGCTCAATTTAAAAGGACAGAGGATGGGAAAAGAGGAATTTTATGCCAATTAGAGCTCTGGTGTCTTCTTTTATGTAAGTTTGTGTTTCTCTAATTGCAAGATTAAACAGAACTGTCATAGATGCTGATGTGTGCCTCGAGTTGCTGGTGCTGCGAGTGTCATATCAACAACTGCTTCTCAGACGTTTTGATGAGGCAACTGTTTGGAATTCCTCCAAGCCTATAATAAGTAGAAATGATGCTTAACACATCATGGTACTGGACTGCAATCTATAATGGTCAACACACATCTGGTATCCAGAAACTCAGTAACTACATTCTCCCCAGGCATCTATGACTCTGTGCTTCTGATCACTGCATGCCTCAAGCATCTCTCTGTGGACCTAGATGCTTTCTGGAGAACTGCAATGATTTCTTTGCAGTGACCTCTTACATGTCATCATCTGCCTCTTTGTTCCAGTTTATGAGCCTCAGAAAAGCTGTATCATAGTAATCCATCACAGTCAATAGAGGTCACAATATGTACAGTATGTATCAGTAAGTCTTCCTACCAAAACCATCTGTAGACTTAAAACAAGACAATATGACATTGAGATCCTGCTCATATTTCTACTTCTCTGAACCTGCCAAGTGTCCTTTAGCATAGGCACTAAGCTGCTTCCAAGAGGGGAATGATCTTGGTCTCAGTTCCACAGTTCCACAGAGCAACCCCCACCCCCCACACACACACACAGTCTAAGTGTGTATGGCATGTGTCATGCTTTGATTTTGGCAGGTCTGGTGTTACACTCTATAATAGCTGCTTCGAGGTTCTGAAGTCTGTGAGACTAAATGAAGGCTTGGGGTTGAAACCTGAATAGGACTGGTCATGTGTGAGCTTGCATGTTTGCATACATGCAATCTGTGTGTAACTGAGATGTGTATACTCTATATGCACATAGGAAGTTCTGTTTGTGCACTTGTGTTTGTATTTAGTGTGGTGGTGTGCTGCATATTTATGGCGAACTGATATCTCCAGAAGGATAAAGAGATGAAAAAGATCTTCCAGCATCAGGACTTTTTAAACCTTCCTCTACCTCTTAAAGGTAGTTTAGTGATTAGAGATTGGGTTAGGCTAAGTTAAGGACCAATGTTAGACATACAGTGGAAATTATAGAATGGGTTTACTGTAGTTAACAGAATTTCCTCACAAGCATAGAAGTAAAATATGTGTTCCGACATGTGGAGTGCCTGCCCATTTAGAGGTCTTGAGGAGCAGGTGTTTCCTCTGTGGGCCAAGTAGTTTTTGGCCTGTCAGCCCACCATGATGTGAAAAAACATGAGCAGAACAAACTGTGAAGGCTGAAAAATGTGGTGTTGATGTAAACTGGAAGGAAATGTGTAACTAGATTCCACCAGAATCCTTCAGCTACACAAAACAACAGGACACAGCTACTGACCCATATTCAGTAGAGCACTCTGAACAAGCTAAACCATTTAATAACTGTCATTTACTGAGCTTAATTTAGTATTGTATTTAAATTTTGAGTAATAATTTGTGTGATGCTCTCATGCTGTAGAGAATGAGCAAGGAGATATGTTAAAGGGAAAAGGGGGGCTACATATGTGACTTAAATGTAATCATCAGTGTAAAAGTCTCAAATGTAACAACAGTGGTTACTGCAGAGGCACAAAACGTTCACTATTTATAAAGAAGAAATGCAGGGATTGCAAGGCTACTTTAAATATACAGTGTCTGGAATTGTACAATTGACAGGCACATTTGATATCACACATCCTATACAATACATTAAGTTCAGACATTGTCATTCATTTCTGGTTTATCAGTGTTATCAGAAAAGGGATCCCCAATAGTCTGTGCATTATGTGAATGAAAATGGCCATAATAATTGTTGGTAAATGATCATTTACAGTTTTTCTGCTCCTGTTTTGTTCCTCAAAGTCAACCATATTGTTTGTTCAAGTTAAGAATGAGCAAATGATGACTCCCTAAGAAATACCTTTTCATATAGAACTCTCTCGGCAGCGCTTGTCATTGCTGGTCAATTCAGTTCTGATCATCCCTCCATTGTTTCAGTTTGTGTGCAGTTTAAAACTCTATGGCCTTTTATAGGAAAAGTGTTGCCACAGAACTCCTCACATCGGTCATGACCTCTCTGTTTACATGCCTCACAGTAGATTGTCCTGTATTGCCTCATGCCTGCACATACTAGAGAGCACAGTCATATAAATATCAATAATGTGGTATTATAGAACAGATCATTTGGTTCCACTGGTCAAACACATCAAATGGGTCAAAGGCTTAATATTAGACACTAAGCTTTTCTTTCAATATGTCCTAATAATATTAATGACCTCATAATGCAGAATATGTTAAAAACCATTCCAGCAGTCATCTGCACAGCTGGTGACTGCTCTCAGTGATAACTGAAAACAGACCCAACCACAAAGCACGTTTGGGGAGATAAATATCTCTGCCTCTTAGTTTATATACTTCCAGTCCAACAAACGCCTGTTTCTACACCACAAAAGTTGATCTTTGCCATATATTTCTGATATGCATGTCTGTTTATTAGTAATCTCTGTTTATGAGTAAAATAGTGAAATGTTTGACAGATAAAATTACACAATGATTCAGCTAGAAGGGGCAGATTTTTCCTCTGTGGTCATTGTAATTGAGCTGCATATAAACAGCATATACAGATTGGTCATTCTGATGTTACTGACTGTGCAGTCAGTGTATTAATCATGTCTGGCGGTTCATGTGTTTAAACTTTCATCCATTTAGAGTGTATATTAGCTCTCCTTACCTCATAGCATCATTGTCCACACACAGCGGTGGCCCAGAGAAAAGGTCACACTGACTTCTAATTAGACGCTATTCTTCATTGAGCCTGTGAGAAACAGTCTGTATGTATTCGATTACTTCCACTGGATTTTATTATTAATCACAATCTGTTTTCTCATTTAAAATGTTTTCTAAAGAAGCACTCTCTCAGTAGTAGTTTTTATGTAGAGCAGAATTTCAGTAAACAGGAATTTTAAATGTGTAAAGAGATTCATAAAACAAAAGAAAAAATAAGCTACTGTAATATTTCTACTTGACGTACATGTTTTCAAAACATTGTCACACATTGTCATTTTGGTTATTATAAAATGCACATCTCCAAATAAGTTTAAACGTTGGTTCTTTTCCTGCACTCATCTCAGGGTGTGGTCCAAGATGCTGTGGGAAATTCTCATTGCCTAGATTCGTTCTGGCTTCATTTTTTGTTAACATTCCTCGGTTCCCAGGCGTTTTTGACAGTGTACTATTGTGTGTATGTGTGAGTGGTACTTTCAGGCTGAGCTTGGAGTGTAGGTGGTGTGAGTCATTAAGAATGTCTTCAGAGACATCTGCTTTGAAAACACAGAGAACATTTTATGTCCATGTATGACTGAAGTGACCATCATCTGAGGTGGAGTGTTGAGCTCTTTTCTGTCAGGAAGACTGAATAGCACTGGTGCTGGGCAGACATGGTTGTCTTATACAGAAAAGCACAAGAAAACAAAGGTTCTAGAAGTCTGGATGTGTTTGTGAGCATTATTATGTACCTGCACAGTAGTCACATGTTGTACATTAGGTTTTAGCTACAGCTCTCAGAATTGGATTGAAATCGTTTGTTTCAGCTCCTTCCCATGTTCTTTAACCTTTTAGTGTAATTTGAAAGCACTCTGACTCATCAGTCCTTAGAGATCCTTTACGAACATGCTGAGTCATGTCTTTAAGTAGCAGGGGCAGTGTGTGCACAGGCCAGCAGAGTAACCACTAGGCTACAAGTTCAGTCTCTCTTGTAGTCTTGAAGATGTTGATCATGTTTATGCTCATCTGCTCTTCCTAAGTGAAATAAGGACATGATTACTACAAATCCTAATGAGATGCAAGCAAAGCCTGCTCAGACAGGTAAAGGTATAGAGGCTGCAAAAATTGGCACAACTCAAGGTGGCATCAATTAATTTAAAGAGGAATACATACAGTATTTTTCCTTTAGGGTTTTATCGCTGATACCTGAGTCAGGGGTGGAGATATTGAAAGGGAAAATATTTTATTTGGATCATTCTTGCAACTGGCTTCTGATTTTATTACAGCAGTTATCAAGGTTTTGTCCTCTTAAGTCCAACACATGTTTTTTCCATGTCATTTGAATTAGTTTTCCAAACTTACAACTCAACACTTTATTTTGCACACTTGGATGTGGGATACCTGTTATTCCATGCACATAACTGACAGATCATTGTCAGAGAAGTTGCTTTTCTTGGAGGAATTTCTGTTGCATGTCTCACATTACTCCCTGTGGTATTGTTGCACATTTTCACCGTGTCAGAGTTCAGTAGTCTCCTCTCACCTCATAACTGGACCATGCTGAAAATTGAGCAACAGTTATTTTTGAAATTCATTGTTGGGGCAGAAATCTACATTATGAGGTTTATAGGGTGCATTGACATATCATATTGGATTGCTTCAAGTTCAGCATTTATGCTGAAAAACCAATTGTGTTAGTTTGTTTTGAGGCAGTTCTGGATGGGCTGATGGAAACGCAAGCTGCTTGATGTAATCACATGGCTCCAAACACAGCTGCCTTATGACCTCTAGTCCTTCCAGTGCATGAGAAGATAGATGGATAGATGACCTTTGACTAAAACTCAAATTTTGCTATCTCAAAGGAAATTGGTTTGCAGCCAGGAAGCAGGCGAGACAACAACAGAGCTACACATACTTGGGATCAGACAAAGATAGAGACACTGGTACAAATTCAATTAAATACAGACATAAAGAATTACAACCCAGACATGATGCAAGGTGCAGAATGATGCTTTGATAAAAATGCAAGCATGTACATATTGAATGAAGAAGGAGGACACTTTGTCATGCATTGTATTTACTTAATTACTTATTTATTTTTGGTTTGGCAGCCTGATTCAGGCCACTAGCCTTTTCGATGAGGTTATTGTAACCCACTCACTAACTTAACCGGCGTTGTCACGTTATTTTATTGACTGTATTAGGCCATATCAGACAAAGTTTTGGAACTTACACTTCTACACCTTTTTGCAGATACAAGATGCTCACAAACTGTTATGATTGTGTCTAAAATGTTTAATCAAAAACGATGTCAGTATCCTGTTTCTTGAGCTAAGTCTGGGTGACTGGGCTGTAAACTTAGACACCTTATTAAATGATGTTTAGTCCTTGGCTCTGTGTCATGAACCAAGAAATTTGAAAATTATCCTAAATGGCTGTGTATGTATATTTATTGGTGCCGCTTGTACATGTAATAGCCTGAAGTTTCCGTTGTTAGAAGCCAGCAGCTTCTGTAATTGTTTCATTTACATGGCTTGTTTGTGACTCTGTAGAATTTCTCTGTAGAATATGAGTTACATATGTCTAGATCTGTGTTTTCTATTATTGAAGACTTGCTGCAATTCACAGCTTAACCTGTGAGTTATTTACAGCCCTGTTGCCATGGACTGAGAGGGTGAGTTCCCAAAGTTGCCTGGAATACATGACCTCTGCTATGCAAATAAATAATGTCATAAAATGTAAAGCAGTATTTTCCTGCAAGCAGTGTCTGGGTAACGGTAAACTCTCTCCATATGTTTAATTAACAAGGATAATTATAGGCCAGCTCCGTATGAGCGGCCAGAGCTAGAGGAGGCAATTTGGGTTTCATTCCTCATTTCAGAAGCCTGGAATGCCAAGTGCCATGCTACCCTGAACAGGCGTTCTCTAGCAGCTGGTGGGAGACTGGCTGCACACAAAGCTCTGATCCTGGCTAATGCTCACAGCAGCACTTTATCAACAAAACATCTCATAACATGACCAACAGATTGCAACTAAAGCACAAGCTCATTGTAATGAGACCCACCACTGGTACAAATCTCATATCTACAGGGGCTATAGTTGTTGTGCCCATTGTAAATAAGCACAATTTGATGATGTATATATCTATAAGAATATATCTTAATTTTAACAATTGATTGGCTTATTTCACGAGTTTTCATGAGAACAATATCAGTTGTCTTGATAGTGCTGCAGCAATTTGCCTTATTCTGGCTTGTTTCTAGATGCACCTTTGGAAAAATAACTAAAACAAGGGAAACTGCATTTGGAACTAAAAAAATAATTTCATCCCATAAGTTGAAAAATATGTTTTAATCTCATTAGGATGTTTACTGCAGCAGTGAGAATATATGAATCGCTGATGTGCTTTTTTTTTATGCCAATCGAGTGTTGCTCCCTGGTACAAGGTGAGTAGTGTGCAGGTGTCAGCTGTCAGGTGTGCTGCAGTAGGATTATGGGTTAGACTCTGTATCTCCCCTATCCTATAATAACACCTACAGAAGCCTTGCCATCTGCCACCACATCTCAGAAGAGCTTGTCTCTTCCGACTCCTAGGAAGCAGGAAGCCTCCACACTTTAAGACCAGCTTTCAGCTGCACTAAATCCTGCTCTATTCAGCTCAGTGACAACCAGCATTTAACTCAGCCAGACAACAAAGTGCTATCATACTGGCAGAAACTAATTGTGAGAATGACGTGACTCAAAGCATGCTGCCGCTGGCTGCCACAAGCTCCACCTTGTTATAAGCTGTATTTTTTTTTTTTTAATAGTTTTTTCATACAACACTAGAAACATGAATAAACAGAAAGGCGGGTATCGGCCTGTTTAATAGCATGTAAACAATATTATCATATTTCTTCTAATTGCTCAATAACTATGTGCAGATGGTTAATTTTTTCTCTTTTGTTTGTTTTTTTCATTCCCAGCTGATCCCATTGATGTTCTGCGAGTGCTGGAGCTGTCAGAGAACATGGAGGGGGTGTCCTTGGAGGCTGGTTTCTGCACTAGCAGGAGGGGCATGGAGAAGACAGATTTGGCCTACAAGATAGACAAAAAGATTCAGCTCAGTGCTCCCACCAAACAGCTTTTCCCTGGTAGTGGACTCTTTTTTTTTAACTATTAGACCATAGACAGCACAGCCTTCAGTCCAATCCGGCAATGAGAATCTCCAAATGTTTTTTTTTTTTTTGAGTAAAACCTTATGAAAGCTGACTTTGAACTCCCTTTACTCTTCCTCATGGGTGGTCACTGCTTTTATGAGCAATATTTTTTATCATTATTATCTTTACTCAGGTCTCACTGGCAGCAGGTGGTGCCTGCATGATATAAAAATTATTTGCTCGCCGCTGTCTGTGCTCTCTCTTGTATGATTT